TGTGGTTGCAACGTAATTTAGGTTAGAGTCAAAGTTAACTTGTTGATGTATAAGGTTGTTAGAGACATACAAAGCCGAACCGCCTCGGCGTGGGGAATCATTTACGTTATTGCAGTAAAGAGAATATCCAAAGAGGTTAAAATTATATTTAGTCGAGTCAGTGTCGAGGAAGTGGGTCTCTTGGATGGCGGCTACTAATGGCTTTTTATTAACTATATATTCACGGAATTCCGCCCAGTGGGATACTACAGAGTTAGTATTCCACTGGAGCAGGAATTCCTCCGTGTGTTGAGACATATTACTGTTTCTTTAGAGCGGACCGAGTGAGCGGGCCGGACCTGGCTGTCTCCAGTACATCCAGATCGGCCAGGCTCAGTGGAACTGTGTTGCTCCGGCGGAGCGAGGGAGTGGCGTGGTGTGGCGGCGAAGGGGTGGGAGCGCTGACGATTGTGGCGTCCAGATCGTCACATTGTAGGGAGACAGTGTCGGCCTCTGACTGGCCGCTGCTGAGGCTCTCCGCGGAGCTGCTCGAGTGTTTGGAGAGGCGGGACGGCCTTGGAGCGGGGTCGTCAGTGTCGGTGGTGTCGGACGGGACGGAGGGCGGGGCCTGACGGGCGGCCGGTGAGGACATGGCGCCGGCTTCTAGGTCCTCGGCGGTGCGCTTGGGAGCGGGTGGCACGGCCACCTTCTGGGTCGCGCCTGGGGCCGGCAGGGGCGGCCAGTCGTCCCCGGCGAGAGGGGCGGTTGCGGTGTCGGTCGGGCGGGCGACGGCGGCGGCGGCGGTCGGGCGGGCGGCGGCGGCGGCGGTCGGGCGGGCGGCGGCGGTCGGACGGGCGGCGGCGGCGGCGGTCGCGGAACGGGTGGGAGGGGACCCGGTGTCCGACGGCGGGCGAGGGGCGGGGAGCAGCCCGTTGGGCCGCTCCTCCCGGAACCACGTGGCTCCGTTGGGCCGACCGTGGCCTTGGGCCCGGTGCTCCGCGCGGCGGTTCTTTACTTCCGCGCGGTGCCACTGCCTGGCGTCCTCCGCGATAGGACACCGGCGGTCCCACGCCGGGTGGGGACCGCCGCAGCCGGGGCACTGTTCGGGCCCGCTGCACTTATCCGCGTCGTGCGGCCCGCCGCAGCGGCCACACTGGGGCTGGCGTCGACGGCAGGCGCGCTTAGAGTGACCGTATGTCCAGCATTTTGTGCATGGACGTGGGGCCGGGACCCAGGGGTCCACGGGCACGGAGAGGTACCCGCATCGGATGGCCTGCGGTAGGGTGCGGCCGCTGAACGTGAGGCGAATGGTCGGGTTCGGTCCGAGTTTTTGGAGGTCGCGGGACCGGAGACGCTGCACTCGGACGACTCCTTGGGTCTGCAGCTCCTCGAGGAGCTCTCGGTTTGTGATCTCCGTGAGGGCGTCCGAGCGGACTGACCCCTCGATCGAGTTGAGTCGGGTGGCCAGAGTGACTGTGATGGGTGTGCCTCTGAAATAGGCGGTACGGAGCAGTTGGTTCGTTTGGGTCGTTGTTTTGGTTTCGATGAGGAGGGCGCCGCTCCTGAGTGCTTTTAGCGATTGAACTGGCCCTATGTAAGTGTCGATCGACCGGCGAAGTGAAAAGGGGTTCGTGTGCCGGAAGCTCCCTTCCTCCCTTGTCACAAGGACGAAGGCCGGTCCTTCGGGGATGGCCTGGGAGGGGGGGGGGGAGCTCGGCGGGCTCCTCGGATGGGTGACCCGGTGGAGCCGGCTCGCGGTCGAGAGAGTCCATGTTGTTGATGTACTCGGCTTTCTGTTTTATTACGTTATGTTTTGTTGGTTTTGTTTAAGTACGTATTGGTATTACCTCTAACCGTTTAACTCTTAGGAAGTAAGCAATTCACTAATGCGTCTTGGCAGGATAAAAAAATTGGGCGGAGGGGGCCGGCAGGCCGGTGACCCCGGAAAACCCGGCTAACAACGAAAAGAGGAAAGTCGAGAGGCGGGAGGGTGGGGGAGATTAAGAATCTCCCGAACAGGGTTGTATACCAATCAAGTCGATTGAATTGATTGATTTGTTTCCACGCGTATTTTGAGTTGATTGGATTGAGTCGATTGACTTTTCGAGATGACTGGTTGACTGACTCGTTTGACTTTAGCGACTGTTTGACTGATTTGATTCCCGAAAATTAGAGTGACTCGTATGATTGAGTCGATTGAATGGAAAGTTCAAATAAGTTTTAGTTGACGAAAAATACATAATGACACCAATTGATGACATCAAAGATCACAAAACTACACTGAAAACTGTTTGTCATCACAACTGCAATATGGGGTAGATGGCCAAATAAAGAACAGGGCCTAAACATGAACAGCCAACTTTGACTTTCAACTGCAATAACTGCTCCAATCCAGGTGATAGAACCTGGTGATGCACCTAACTACCTTTCTGCACTCAGCAGGAAACGTTTTTTTTTAATCCAGATGATAAAGTGCAAGGCCCTATATACTAATAAAGTGTGATTAATTAATAATTCACATCTCCACACCTCCTCAGAAACAACCCTCTGAACTCTATAAATATCTGAAACCTCTCCTGAGAGCCTAAGCATAACATATTTAATATATTTCATTTTCCTTAGAATATTTTACCGAATATAATTAAGTGGTTTTATTTCAAATGAAATAATAATTAAAACGAAATTGGTGTTGTACAACCGATTTATTTTATGATGATCTACCATACTACATGATAATCAATGACGTCATCTTACCAAAAAATCAAAAGACGTAGAATAAGGATTTATAAAAGCTTAGCATACTTATTGGCAAAACGTTATCTTTGTTTCGCAGTCTTACCGTGCCGTTTTCGCGTTTTAATTTTCCTTGTTCCTACTTCCTTTGTCCTTAACTTATCCTGTGGTTCCAGAGTCCCTGTCCTCTCCATTTCCTTTTAAATATATTTCTAATCCTCATCCCTATCCCCCAGTCCTAACAGTTTCAAATTGTATTGCAATATAATGTTTTGAATTCTTCACATAGGTACCTAACATTGACATGCCACGTCCAGAGACGTGGACCGCTAAATACTTCAAATCTCTTCCTTCCCAATCTGACAACATCCCACGTCTCAAATGCACATTGTGTGGAAAGGTTTTTCAGGCTGCCCGTCAGTCTCTGTCTAACCGAAACCGTCACATCCAGGTAAGATATTTATTTCTATTTCCCTATGGTTAATATGTTATTGATGCATATTATCCATTAAAATAGACATGGTGTAGGGTAAATGGCCAAATCACGAACACTGCCAAAATCCGAGCAGCCAACTTTCAACTGCAATATCTGATATTTAGTGTAAACGGAGTTGGAATATGGCCAAAATTAAATTGACAACTTTTAGGTGAAAGGTGGTGATTTGGGTTAAGGGGCGAGTCAACTGCTGGGTTATTTTGCACTCATTAAATGAAACTTCTGCTCCAATTCTACCCTTTGAACCTCAATATCATGATCCACCTGTCCATCACTAGGTATCCTTCCTTATTACATAGGTAGTAACTTTGAATGGCATGGCAATTTATAATTTTAAATGACAATATTTTTATGTTTCTTCTGTAGGTAGGTAGGTAGGAAGGTAGGTAGGTACACCAACCAGACTGCTATGGACACTTTTCCAAGTTGGTGGGGCAAAAAACCTAATGTATGTCTTGGTTTGAGTCGTTTGATTGAGTTGATTGATTCCTTTCATTGTCGCGTTTGAGTCGATTGAATCAATTCCCGAAAACTGCTCTGACTTGATTGATTTGATTGGTTTCCCAAATTTGTCGTGATTGAATTGATTGCTATTGATTGAGTCGTATACAACCCTGCTCCCGAAGAGTGGGTGAGGAAAGATGAAAATGAAAAAGTCGACCACCTTAGCTGGCCTGCCTATCGGCGCTAAAGTTCGCCACTAAAAGGCCGTGGAGCGGCCACCAAGGGATAATAGAGCTGTCTTAAAAAAGACAGCTCTACGCGCTCCTACTGCTAGAACAACTTGACTGAACGGGCAAGCCACGTACAAGTGCAAGGTCCAACAGTATCCTGCCAAAGCCAGGGCCCCGGTAACGTGAGGTAGCCGAGTCGGGGCAGCGTGCGCTGACCCAAGCCGGGGCCGCAGCTTTGGGCGCGGTCTACCGCATCCCCGCGGGCAGCCCCGGGCTATCACATGACACCGGGAGGACGCGCGGCCCCGGCTTGGGTCAGCGCACGCTGCCCCGACTCGGCTACCTCACGTTACCGGGGCCCTGGCTTTGGGCGCGGTCTACCGCACCACCTAACAGGCGTGTTCGAAACCGCAGGAGATGATGATGAACGGGTTTATCGAAACTTGATTGGATGAGCATATCGGTAATAGCGATTTCAGTGTGTGCATTTATTGTTCATAGTGGTGTGAAATGTGGTTGGGGTACGACCGACAACCCGTCGGGGCGAATTTCGCACTGGGGTACTCAAAATTTGAAGAATTTAAGACGTTTCCATGAGTTTTGAAGGTATAGATAAGTTCTAAAAATCCGGTTCTCCTTATCTGGGCCATTAACTCCATACGGTCCAGGAAAGCTGGCACACTACCTTTAATCCAAGATACCTACCGGTTAATCAGAGTACAAAGAACATCGGAAACATCAGCGTGCCGCGAGACAAAACTGGAGGGCGGTAGCGAAGTTCAGTTCCCGCGGTCAAAACCCTAGCACCCTCCCCACCTGAATGGATGAACACAGAGCATATGAAAAATAACCAACTAAACAACAACTTGGATAAACAGCAAGCATTGGAGAGACGGTGCCGGCCAGTCCGATCGGTGGTCGGTGCCGTCCTATCCTATGCTTCGATGCTTCGTCTGTCCTGCAGGCTGCAGCCTCTCGTTCAATACATTTTTTGCAATAATCTGCTGCTGTTTAGACCCAACGCACTCTTCTCGTATGATGCTTATGCCCTAGAAAGGTGAAGCTTGTACGAGCACCTAACCTGAACCCTTTCAAACCCCACTGGACCTCACGCTTACCTGAACCGGGCCGACAAGCAGCAGTTTAATTTTGACCATGCCTAGAATAATATGGATGCAACAAAAAAAACGTCACAGCAGGCCAATGATATTCAGCAAGAATGATGATACATGAGCCCAAAATCAGTACTAACTCCACAGCCCCACTCTAGACGAATTTCCCTTGGAATTTCCCCGAAGAGGAATGTCAAGGCCCTATATACCAAGGCCCTATATACCAATTCCTCAAGGCCCTAGAGGAATGTTTTGTTTTCTGCTGCGCCATATTTTGTATCAGCTGCGCCGTATTGTTGAATGAATTACGATGGAAATACACAAAATTTTGATGCATGACTATTATTTTCCTATATAAGTACAACCAATGATTATTTTATGTTTAAAATTATTCATTTGTTTTATTTTTTACACAAAATAAATGTAGAATATTTCAATGACTTTTTAGCTGTATTATATGAGCTTATTGAATGACATAATAACCTTGCTTATGTCAGATTCCTGCCCCTTTTGAAGTCATCGTCCACAAGAGATTCCACACCACCCCCAAAGGGCCAAGACGCCTCATTTTACTGCATTTACACCTATATTACATTTTATAGTAGGGTTCGTGGAGTTCTATAGCCTTGGGCTCGTATTATTCCGAAGGCCTGGACGTTAAATATTTCATGTTCGTAAGTTGTAACGAATTTTTGCGTTGAACACATTATTGGTTTTGGTTTGTATTTTGTAGTTAAATTATTGTTTTTTTGTGTTTTGTTATTAGATTATTGGTTTGTAAACTGAGCAGTCTCAAAAGTGCTACCTCATTTCAGTTTATGACTGCTGCTTTGTCATTTCATTGGCGCACATATCCTTGAGTTTGTTCATTCAAACTTAAAAAAGAATATAAGTTGGCGGAGCTATGGTCAAGCGTGCCCATTTTTTTGAACGCATTTATGTTCCCATGTTTGGGAACGATAAACCCAAACATGGGAACGCCATGTAGGCATTAGGTATTCAAAACAAGAAGAACCGTTAAATGACGTCCAAAATATACTAAACAATCGTGAACCGCCTGATATTTGTCTCAATATTGTTGGGAAAGAGTTTGCTGTTATAAGACCCATCGTAGTTTCAAATCGTTCCCCTATTTCTAAGGCAGTCCATCACCCGGGCCGCATGCCCAAATTTGGGAATGCTCTCGTACGTACACTGGCGCGGCAAGCGTTCCTTATTATGGGAACGGCGTACACAAAATTGGGAACGATTACGATTTCACCAACGCCTTTCACGGGCTCTTTTCATTAACAAGCATCACGTCCAACGCTGCAAGTTATTGTTAACGCAACAACCATAAGATGACCTTTCCGGCAAGACCGCCACATGTTTCGCCGGGTCTTCTGGGCTCTTATTCCCGTCGATCCCGCAGCGGGCACGCCCCCCTCTGCAGGATTACTGATCAGATTGATCTGCAATTATAATGAGTTGCAGTTGGTAAAATTTTGCTGGTTATCAGGATAATAGCCACTCAGCTTATGATTCCCACTCACAGATTGATTTGGGTATAGGTATTTGTAAAATTTTATAGTTTATTTTTGGTGCTAGGAACAGTTATTTTTAACTGTTAGTATAATACCACTGTTAGTATGATACCACAGGTTGAATGTTGATGGAGCCTGCCATAGGCCAAATCACATTTCCAACATTGCTTTTATTTTTGCTTTTTGATAGGCCTGATAACTGTTTTTTATCTCTTGTGATTTGTGACCAACAAAACATTAAATGTATAAAATGTATGTATATAAGCAGGGTTATTATCAGCTAGGTATATCCCATGTAAACTTAAGAGTTTAGAGAGCTCAAATGTATTTTCTGGGGCATCAGATTATTAAATACACCTCAAAACTTTGAAAATATACAGGGATACTTTACACTTGGTCTCTTGCTCCATCATTTCACAGATTATGTGCTCAGTAATTTGCTCAAGTAAAAACATTTAAGTGATTGTCTTCAAATGGGTGGCGACCTAGGGCTCAAGTGATTGTCTTCAAATGGGTGATGACCTAGGACACAGTTTAATCATATTTCTTCTGTTACATAGGTGCCTAGAAGCTGTGGTCACACAAATATGTGTCTGCTAACTGAACATGAACAAGAAAGAAGGCAGCAAAATGAAAGGTGAAAGTAGAATGAAAGTTAAGCCAGACAAAGCAAAAGAACAGAAGAAGAGCGATGTTAAAGGCAAAGGAAAAGCTGAAGAGCCGAAAAAGTCCACCAAAGACACTCAGAAGCGAGCTGGCAGAAGCCCAAGTAAAGCTGACACTAAGGAGAAAGCCAAAACTTCGGTAACAAAGGATGAAAGTACGGGAAAGCCCCGAACTGACGTCAAGAAGGTCAAGAAGACAGGAAGTGAACATCATAAAAGTTCTACCAAAGGTACAGTTGCACTCACGCCTGTCAGGAGTGGATCGCTGCCTTGTTTGACCCTTTTAAAGTGACTGCTACACCTTGAATTAATGCTGTTGTGATGTCAGTATTGTCCCAACCACTTCCGTTGTTATTCAATCATCATTTTTGTTTGGTAGAACGTGTCTTTACTCACCTGTTCCTTTTCTTTGACATTATTTATCGGCGAGGACCAGATGGAGTCGACCAGCTTTCCCAACGACGTTATATCAGCACGCTGGCTGCGAATATCAGCAATATGCTGTGCTTCTCAATGGCTTTGATGTTTTTCATGATCGGCGATTTGAAATAGCTCGTGTTCCTAGTGCGTCCCGTATCTTCCCTCCATGACCAGACCATGACCGTATCTTCCTGAGTGCTGGCCTGGCCTCCCCCTGCCACAAACACAGGGGCTGGCCCGGTCCCCCCCCCCCAACGTGGGCTGAACCAATCCCCCCCCCACACACACGGGCTAATAACTCGGTCCATTCCGCCACAGGGGCAGGCCTGGTCTCTCCCCATATATGAGCTGACCCGGTCCCTCTATTTGGGACTGACCCATCCCACCACTTAGGATGACCCGTCACCGCCCTTTCATTGGGGCTGGCTCCGCCCCTAGCTTTAGATTGTACCGGTTCAGGCCAAAGATGTCTTGTTTCAGCTCTTCTCTGAGCATTTTGCGTTAGGCTGGTCATACAGTTATCTGCCTTCCCTTCAGCACTCTTTCGTAGTAAAAAAGCGATTGCATCCGCCATCTGGAATCTCTGCTGGCTTATTTCTGTTATCTGCGTTAGAGGTGGACTTGTTTAACTGTTACATTGCCACTTTTCAATAAAACGACGGCTTCCTTTGCAGACTCAAAGTCGTCACTGAAGTCGAAAAAGGCTCCAGAGGAGCCAGCAAAGGCGTCCAAAGATCACAAGGCTAAACCATCGAAGGCAGATGCTAATGCCTCCAAAAAGACGGAGCAGTCGAAAAAGTCTGCTAAAACTGATGGAAGTCATGTCAAAAAGTCGTCGAAGCCGGAAACGTCGCCTAAAAAGGCATCTCCTAACAAAGCCCATGTCGCTGACGCCGCTCCCAAGGAGAACGGCGATCACAAAGCGAAGAAATCCTCGGAGCCGATCTCGCCGAAAAAGGCTAAGACGCCCACTCCCGAGCCGCCTCCGCGCAAAACGCCGACGCCAAAATATGAGGACGACTTCGAGGTAAGCTCACATACCTATTTCCTCAGATGGTTTTAGAGGCACATCTGGCGAGAGCTGGATGTGAGCGGATGAAAAATGTCAGTTTGATCTTATGAAATGGAAAGGTAAAATCCACGCAGGATCTGATATCTGAGGTTTTCGAGCGTAAGTTTTTCACTTTCCTCTCTGCAGTCACCGTTCTATCAAGGATGTGATTTTCCTTTGCGGCTTATCGCTTGGGCCTAAATAAATAAGTCTTTTTTACGCCATAGTATGAACACCCCCCCCCCCCCTACTCAAAAAATTCCCCAAAACAATACGAGTAGGTATGTAGAGGAAAACATGCCTTCCAAATGTGATTCGTTGTTGGTGGGAATACCAAAAAGTTGACATCCGATGGAGGGGAGGATTTTACATCTGAGAAAGGGAATAACCGTTTAGCGTAGCAGCGTTTGAACATGATGCGTTGAAAGGTTTGACGCTCAACCCTTAACATGGCGTTCTACTACTGCCATGTAACGGCAAGATTGAAGTAGGTAACTGGTCACTGCGGCACAGTATAGCTACAGGCGTTCTTCTACTGTCATTTAGCGGCGAGAGGTGAAGCTACTGATGACTGCATGGGCGCAAAATGACCTAAGTACTCGGCGCGCCCTAAAGCCCCAATTAACAAACAATACTGATAACTGCGGCACAGGTTAACAGTAGGCGTTTTGCTAGTGCCATGTAGCGGCGAAAGGTGAAGAGACTGATCACTGCGGCACAGTATAACTGCAGGCGTTCAGCTACTGCCATCTAGCGGCCCGAGGTGAATGCTGCGGCACAGCATAACTGCAGGCGTTCTGCTACTGCCATCTAGCGGCGAAAGGTGAAGCTACAGATCACTGCGGCACAGCATAACTGCAGGCATTCTGCTCTTGCCATCTAGCGGCGAAAGGTGAAAAGACTGAGTATTGCGGCACAGCATGATTGCAGGCGTTCTGCTACCGCCTTTTAGCGGCAAGAGGTGAAGTTGTTGGTAACTGCGGCACGGTATAACTGCAGGCCTTCTGCTGCTGCTATCTAGCGGCCCGAGGTGAAGTTACCGGTTATTGCGGCACAGCATAACTGCAGGCGTTCCGCTGTTGCCATCTAGCGGTGAGATGTGAAATTACTGGTCACTGCAGTCTGCAGCTCAGCGTAACTGCAGAGTGCAGGCATTCTGCCAACCACAGCTTTTTCCTACAATGCAAAGAAAGTTGGAACTCTTATAGAAAAAGATGAATTTCGATTTGAAACAAATAGAATTTAAATTGAAAAGTATGTAAATTGTGAGGAGCTTTGTCAAAGCAGGATTATGCTGCGGTACAGCATTATGTTTACCACCAAAAGTAGGTATTAGAGGACAATTTGGATGCATAGAGACTTCCCTCGCCGGAAGCATCGATGTTCGCCGTACGACATGGCCATGGAAGTACGGACCTCTTGCCGTTAACCTTCGCCCCAGTGGGGGGGGGGGGGCATATGTTACCACCCTGTCGCGTTTTTTGCGTGTGAATAAAAAACCGCGGCGCGTAGTGCCGCGCCGCTTGGGGTAGCTTTTGGTACATCAATTTTGGACAATGTGTGAAATTTTTGACCCCAGGTCATGTCAGGTCAGGTCACCAGGTCAAGTTAACTGACCAAGCCTAAAAAAAAGTTTGCAATCATGTCCAGCCTGCAGTGTTTGTCAGAAAGGTTTTAAACTTGGTGGATTGCATGCTGTTATGGGCGCCTACAATTTGTATATCTCGGATTTTTTATATCCGTGACCTAAGGTCAGGTCAGTGGCGTGACCTTTCCATTACAAGTCAATGGAGAAAAATGAAAATGCCTCTAGATCCGTGTGTACGCATCGGAACAGTCCAAATATTTCAGAATCACAATGATTTAGTCCACTCGTGATGACCAAGGTGTCATTTTTGCTTATAGCCTCTAGACAGGTCATCCGAGGTCACTTGAGGCTACAAACAGTTTTTTTTGCAAATAACTCGCGATTGGAAAGAGATAGAACGCTGGGAATGGTCTCATTGTGTTTGTCTTGTTGAGACGCATCGACTGATATGCAACATGACCTTTTCCGGTAAGGTCATGACCTTGACCTGAGGTCAAATTTTCAAGTTGACCTTTCAAGGTCAAATTATAGTTCATTCGACGCGTCTCGGCGAGGGGAACACGATTCTGGCAATAGAAATGTCGTGGCGTTTTGTAGTCGAAAGTTATTGTCGAAAAACACTTTTCGTAAAAACAGCTATTTTTGGAGTTTTTGCCCTCTGGAGGCTAAACCGTTGACCTGAGGTCAATATTGATAATGACCTTTTCAAAAGAAGAGTTCAAAAGCTATCGTTTGCTCTTCCATACGTTTTTCTAGCTACCATAGTTCCTGAGATAGCGGCATGTTTTCTGAAAAATATAATGACAATTGGCAAATTTTGACCTTTGATGACCTCTAGTGACCCCAATATTGCTCTAAGATGAAAAATGTCTGAAATACTTTCAAACGTACGCATTGAGAGCTATCGACTGCTTTTTACCGCGTCTTTCTAGCCCTCTTAGTTTTTGAGTTAGAGGTGGGTGGTAGCATATGCCCCCCCCCCCCCCCCCCCCACTAGGGCGAAGTTGGCTGAGACCGCCACTGGGGCGCGGGTTAATGCGCTAATGCGAGCCGACATTCGCCGAATCGCGATTCCGGCCAAACATGGTCTCGGAAAGTAGGTCACAGGTCAAAGGTCATCTGGTCAGGGTCATGAGCTTTTCAGGTTAGGTGTAAAATTGATCAATGCGAGGGTATTTAAAGTTTCGTCGCGATCGGCCGCTTTTTACGCGAGTTATTTGCGAAAAACCTTAGGGGGGCGGTGCATCAACGCCCCCCCCCCCCTGTGCCGGCGAGGGTTAACCACTTGATGTTTGTCTTCAAAGGAGTACGGGGATGATTTCGAGGACGATTTTGAGGAAGATGAGGACGAGCCAGACATGTCATCGTCGTCTGCCTCCTCTTCCTCCTCGTCTCCCTCTTCCTCTGACTCGGAGGACTCCTCTGATCCCGGTGTGCCGGTCATCCCGTCAGCCGTCTATCCCGATCCTCAGGTCCTCAGCCCGGCCAATAACCCGAACACGCACTCGAAGCGGCTGGCCACCGCCGTGCCGCGCAAGCAGTTCCAGCCGCCTGCCGACACGTACGCCAAACAGGACTGGGAGCCCGACCAGCTGAAAAAGGCCATCGACTCCGAGAACAAACGTGCAGAGACGTTCGACGCGTGAGTGACTCGGGCGGCGTCCGCCGCGCTCCGGGCGCTCCGCCTGGTGCGGGGTGTAAGGTGATCGCCGCGCGTGCTTTTTTGTCCTGCGATAGTTTTGTCACCGGCTCGCCGATTGTTTCTATTGTGGGCGCCGGGTATGTTTGTAAGTTGTAACTTGTATATTACACATGGGCTGTCAGCGCCAACCGGCTAGCGGAGCTGCTCAAAAGGGGGCAGAACTCGGCCCGGTACACTGGAAAGCCTGGTGTTGGTCACGACCGAACGGTTACGTGGCTGTATCGCAGTGAAATTAACTGCATCAGAAAGTAAACAATGAAAATGTGCACTAATATTTTTGAACATTTTCGAAGTACTGATTTTCTGGTAACCTCAGCATTTTTTTATTTCGGGATTCGGGTGATCATTTCACAATTAGAACATTGCGAATTTCACTATCACACGTAGGGGAGAGTGGGGTAATTTGGCCGGTGGTGTAAATTGGCCGCCCCCACCTGTACGAAAGCTGATAAAAGTGAATGAAATAACTTTGGTCTCTATTCATTTGTCATCGGCAGAACTAACTCGAGGACAAATGTCAAAACTTACCCCCTCTTAGTTTTATTCAAAATTAATAAAACGTGAATTTCGTTAGAAAATGGTAACTTTTACTTCCGTTAAAAAATTTGTATAACATGTAGTATTTGGGCTGTAAACGAATTCCAACATTATAGCGCCATTCTTGAGGGTGTTCAGCGGTTCCAAGAACAATTTCATGTAGTTCTGTACAGCCATGACAACTTTATAGACAAACATTTTCAGAATGGCAATGTGGGGTTATTTGGCCGGGTCTAGCGGGGCAACTTGGCCGGTGCGCTCAGAGTCACTATGCTGGGACGGCCGTGTTGTCATGGTCAATTATACCATAAAGGATATGATTCATGACCAGCTTTGACTACCTTGATACCATATTTCCTATTGGACAGCTGTAAGGGCATGTGACGTCATCAAAGGTTACCTAACGATTTTTTGCTAATAAATACTTACAGAAAAAAGATACAGCCGCGCAAATGGTCTCATTGTGTTCAGCTCGTCAAGGCGCATCGAATGATATACATGATATACATGATGACATGATGACTCACGTAACCTTGAGGTCAAGCGACCTGAGGTAACGTGACCTGAAGCCAACCTTTGACCTTGACCTCTCGAGGTGAACACATACATGTTTCGATGCGGAATGACGAGAGAATTACGATGGTACTTTTAGTTTTGGCCTAGCTTGATTACTTCAAAAGTTATTCGTAAAAAACTGTCATCGCATCTAGAGCCGCTATTTTGACTATTTTCGACCCCTGTGACGGCTGAGTCAACCTCCAAAATGCTTCAAATGCGTCGTAGGACACGCGTCATTGCTGAATGTGAAGCTGACTCGCCTATAACAAAAATCATGGCCTCAAACTAACACCGGCCAAATTGCCCCACACCCCCGGCCAAATAACCCTGCTAGTGGGGCAATTTGGCCGCTTTGCAGACCTTTGTAATACGCCACAATTTCAATATAAGTAGTTACTCTATCATTTCAAGTTTACTGTCCAGTAAAGTAAAATGTATGCCACACCTGTCAGCGTTGAGAAAATGCAGAAATGTGTTGTCGTTTTTTAGTTACATCGTTTTCTAAAAAAAAAGCGGCCAAATTACCCCACTCTCCCCTATTGTTTGGTACTGCAGTGAGGAGTTTCACAAGCAGAAGAAGGCGCGCGCCGCCGCCGCCGCCGGCCGAGCAGAAGCGGCGGCCGTCCGTGCCGGTGTCGTTCGCTGCCGAGGTGGCCGAGCCGGCTGCCGAGCCGGCCGGCGGCGCGCAGCCCTCGCGCTCTGTGGACTTCTCACACGCCAAGAAGGAGCAGCAGCGCAGGAAGGTGAGCCCGCGCCCGGCCGTCGCCGAGAGCCCATCGGTCCGAGCGGCGGCCGCGGCCGGCCGGCCGGCCGGCCCAGGCTGATGTGGCTCACTTCCAGTGAATGATATTTACGGGGGGCTTCACAGGGAAGTAAGGCAGCAATCAATATTCATCTCCATTTAGAATAGAAGTTTTCACCTCAGACTGTGCAGCGAGTTGGGTGATCAATTGTATGGAGAGGTTTAGATTATGAGTAATGCTCTATTTCTGTCCTTTGTTTGGCAGTCTGCTCAGAAGCGCCAGGGCCGCGGTCGCGCCCTGCTCTCGCTGATCGAGCTGTTCGAGCAGGACTTTGACCTGTTTGAGATGGAGCCGGCCTCGTACGATCAGATCGTGGCAAACTTCGGCAAGTCCGGCCTGCAGCAGGTAGGCACAGGCGGCGGCGATAGGAGAGGGGAGGGGGTGGTGGTTCAACACTGGCAGCCTCAGAAGACGTGTGCCCGCTGGAACAGTCGGACATTTCCCGGGTGGTGTTGCGCACCTCAGTATTTTGGGGATTCGGACACAACTAAAACAGTTATTTCTCTGGTTAAATTGTAGCTCATTTTTCACGATTGTGCAGCCATCTCAAAGAATTATCAATTCCGAAGACAGGTGCAACAATTACTGACACCGAATTGGAGCTAGTGTCTGAGTTTGGTGCTGTGCCGCTGTCTGAGTTTGGTGCGGCACGTGTCGCTGTGTGTATTTGGTGCGGTGCCGCTGTTTGTCAGTGTGGTCTGTGCCTCTGCACCTGACAGGGCACCTCTCAGACCAACGAGGACGACCTGGCCGAGGAGGTGCAGACGGACGAGGTGGTGTGCCGCCACAAGTGGACCCAGCACCCGATCCAGTTCGACGTCCGGGTCACCACCAACGCAGAGGGCGAGGTGGTCACCGGGCCCACCTATTACGTGAGTCCACACACACACACAGACATACACACATACATACAGCCGAGACGGCGCGGCCACGGCCTGCCTGCCTGCCTGCCTGCCTGCAGCCCCTTCATCCCCTTATAGTATACAATTAAACCCTTTGGTGGGGGGGGGGTCTCTTAGTCGAGCATGGGACTCGCTAAAATTGGTTTGAAACATTTCATTCAGCTAGCTGTGCTACTTAAAACTGTTGCATGATTTGCTGGCACAGCTTTGATTGAATTGAGTTTTAGAGAAACCTTGTTTGATGACGGAGTGCAGCGACCGACGTCGACAGTTGTGATTTGGCCTTACGTTCACTACCCGTTGTTATGGAAGGATGGCGTGGGACGGGTCCGCCGCCGGGCCGCGCGGTGACCTGTCCGCCGCCCGGCCGCGCGGTGACCTGGCCGCTGCGCGGTGCTGTGTGTCCCCACAGGACTACCTGGGCGTCGGCGGGGACATGGAGGAGGACGAGCGGGACCGGCAGGACCGGCTGCACAGCAGCGCCATCCGCCTGAACCGCTTCCTGGGCGCCGCCGGATCGGTACGTCACCGGCGCGGCTCTACATACACACCGGGGGGCGTGCAGCCGGGGTCTGAGCCGCACCTGACACCTTACTTTGAAGTCATAATGATTATTAAACCTACCTAATGAAGGTTTTAACTAATGCCTGAACACAAAATATGATCACATTTATGTACCCCTTCACGACCATGTCTTTGTATGCTCCTGTAACCGAGCTACTCGTTCTCATGATTGTCTTTGTGTGTGACCAACCCACCCGTCCTCGTGTCCCCACTGAACTGTGTTTGTGTTTGCTCCACTCCCGCCTCGTGTTCGTGCCGTCAGTGTATCCTGATGCTGCTGGAGGAGGGCGCGGCGCGGTCGGACAGCGGCCAGGCGGGCGGTGCGGCCGCCGGCCGGCTCAGTTTCAGCAGCGCCGCGGCGCGCCTGGGCGGCGGCGTGGCCGACCTGCTGGCCGGCCGGCCGGCCACCTTCGTCAGCTTCAGCGACTCGGACGGCCGGCTGCTGGTGTCGGCACACGCCGCGCGGCCGGCCGACCCGCAGCAGGCCAAGGCCGCCTCCGATCCGGAACAGGTCAGCGGCAGCGGCAGACTGGGCGGCCTGGGCTCGGCAGCAGACTGGGCTGCCTGGTCTCGGTGGCAGACTGGGCTCCCTGGGCCCAGCGGCAGACTGGGCTCCCTGTTCTCAGCGGCAGCGGCAGAGTGGGCTCCCTGGGCTCAGCGGCATTCCTTACCTGCAGTGGGGGCTCCACTCAGTTCTAAGGAGTATACAGGGGCACACTGAGTACAGGGCGCCAAAATGGGTGGCCCGTCCACCCAAAGTAAAGCTTGCCACGCATTAAGTGAATCCAAAGAACTACGGACGTGCATTGTGCGACGGTACAATGCACCGTAATTCATGAGCTCGCAGGAAAGTATGGCAGGCTTCGGCAAACACCATATGGGTAGTGCGGTTGGTATTCACGCTGAGGTTGATGTGACGATGACTGGCCAGTGGTCGTGTTGAATCACAGACCTCTGTGTACCGCGGTCTTTGGTTGAGCGGTAACTGACCAGTGCTCGGTGGACAGCTTCATAAAGCCACGCTGGCTGCATACGGCCTCGTTGATTATTACCGATTACTGTGCATTTCTTATTTATTACACCGGTACCTATAATAGCTCATGCTGGTATTGTATTGGAGTGTTTTAATTGTCAATGCATGCATGCATACATAATGTTACAGTTTTGCAGTATTACGCTGTTAGCAATGTGCATCGTTATATAGTAGTTGTATGCGTGCGTGTAGCTGTTCGCGTACATACGTGTTCGCGCCGAGATGCGGCAGTGTTTCGCAGCCTCTGTTTTGCAGTCAGCTGTGCCGCAGAATGTGACGTGAAACATGCTGTGTCCCCCCGGTCAGCGGCGGGGTCGGCCCACCAGGTCGGCCTGGTGTGGTGTGACGGCCTGGTGTGGTGTATTGGTGACGGTCGTTCTCCCCAGCTCCGCCAGCCGGAGTCGGCCGACCGGTGCGGCCTGGTGTGGTGTAATGGTGACGGCCTGGTGTGGTGTGGTGTGACGGTTGGTGTGGTGTGGTGTGACGGTCTGGCGTGGTGTACTGGTGACGGTCGTTCTCCCCTCCGCCAGCCGGAGTCGGCCGACCGGTGCGGCCTGGTGTGGTGTAATGGTGACGGCCTGGTGTGGTGTGGTGTGACGGTTGGTGTGGTGTGGTGTGACGGTCTGGCGTGATGTACTGGTGACGGTCGTTCTCCCCTCCGCCAGCCGGAGTCGGCCGACCGGTGCGGCCTGGTGTGGTGTACTGGTGACGGCCTGGTGTAGTGTGGTGTGACGGTAGGTGTGATGTAATGGTGACGGCCGTTCTCCCCTCCGTCAGCCGGATTCTTCCGACCGGTGCGGCCTGGTGTGGTGTGGTGTGACGGTCTGATTTGGTGTACTGGTGACGGTTGGTGTGGTGTGGTGTGACGGTCTGGCGTGATGTACTGGTGACGGTCGTTCTCCCCTCCGCCAGCCGGAGTCGGCCGACCGGTGCGGCCTGGTGTGGTGTACTGGTGACGGCCTGGTGTAGTGTGGTGTGACGGTAGGTGTGATGTAATGGTGACAGCCGTTCTCCCCTCCGTCAGCCGGATTCTTCCGACCGGTGCGGCCTGGTGTGGTGTGGTGTGACGGTCTGATTTGGTGTACTGGTGACGGCCGTTCTCTCCCCTCCGCCAGCCGGAGTCGGCCGACCGGTGCGGCCTGGTGTGCGTCTGGTCCGTC